TTCCCCTGTCTGTTTTGTACCTACCAATTTGTGCTGTTTATTCCCTGTATCTTTGCCCCGTTCTTCTCCTCCCCTCTCCCAACTAATAACCCTCCAAATGATCTCCATATTTATTATTATGTTCCTGTTCTGCTTGTTTGCTTGGTTTGTTATTTGGATTCAATTTTTGATAGTTGTGAATTTATTGTCATTTTAATGTTCATTGTTTTGATCTTCTTTTTCTGATATAATTCCTCTTAGCATTTCATATAATAATGGCTTGGTGATAATGAGCTCCTTTAGTTTTACCTTGTCTGAGAAGCATTTTGTCTGCCCTTCAATTTTAAATGATTTCTTTACTGGGTAGAATAATCTACATTGTACGTTCTTGCTTTTCATCACTTTGAACATTTCTTTCCAGTCCCTTCTAGCCTGCAAAGTTTCTTTTGAGAAGTCAACTGACAGTCTTGTGGGAACTCCTTTGTAGGTAATTGTCTACTTTTCTCTCACTGCTTTTAAGATTCTCTCTTTATCTTTTTTGTTTATTTTATTTTTATTTATTTATCTTTTTAGAGAGGGGGAAGGGAGGGAGGAAGACCAGGAGAGAAACATCGATGTGTGAGAGATACATTGATCGGTTGCCTCTTGCATACCCACAGTGGGGGACCTGGCCCACAACCCAGGCATGTGCCCTGACTGGGAATCAAACCAGCAACTTTTTGGTTTCCAGGCCAGCACTTAATCCACTGAACCACACCTGCCAGGGCTCTCTCTTTATTTTTTAACCTTTGGCATTTTAATTATGGTGTGTCTTGGTGTGGTCCTTATTGGGTCCATCTTGTTTGGGACTCTCTGTGCTTCCTGGACTTGTATGTCCACTTCCTTCACCAAATCAGAGACATTTTCTTTCATTACTTTTTCAAACAAGTTTTCAATGTTTTGTTCTTCCTCTTCTTCTTCTGGTACCCTTATGATTCAGATGTTGGTACATTTACAGATGTCCCAGAGGTTCCTAAGCATATCCTCATCTTTAAAAATGTTTTTTTTCCCTGCTGTTTTGATTGAATACTTTTTCCTTCATCTTGTTCCAAATCATTGATACGATTCTTGGCTTCATCCTCTCCACTGTCGGTTCCCTGTAGATTTTTTCTTTTTTTTAAGATTTTATTTATTTATTTTTTAGAGAGGGAAGGGAGGGAGATAGAGAGAGAGAGAGAGAAACATCAATGTGCGGTTGCTGGGGGTCATGGCCTGCAACCCAGGCATGTACCCTGGCTGGGAATCGAACCTGGGACACTTTGGTTCCCAGCCCACACTCAATCCACTGAGCTACGCCAGCCGGGGATTTTTCTTTATTTCACTTAATGCAACCTTCATTTCTGCCTGGGTCTTTTTTATGGCATTGACGTACCCAATGAATTCCTGGAGCATCCTGAAAACCAGTGTTTTGAACTATGCATGTGATAGTTTGCTTAGCTCCATTCCTTTAGATATTTCTCTGGAGTGTTGTTCTGTTCTTTCACTTGGGCCATATTTCTTTTTCTCCTCATTTTGGCAGCCTCCCTGTGTTTGTTTCTATGTATTAGGTAAAGCTGCTTTGACTCCCTGTCTTAGCACACCTGTTAAGTTATATGGTGTGGAGCCTTACGTAATTGCCAGGGCGGGCCAACCAGCATCACCACTCTGTTGCTCTGTGTGGGGGCGGGCTCATAGAGGGAACAATGCTGATGCCTGGCCTCTGGAGTTTTGCTGAGGAGGAAGCTGTATCCCAACTTCAATTTAACTTTCTCCCCATATGCCACTGGTGCCCTTCCAGATGTTGCCCTGGTGCTGAATCACAGAGAGGGTGGGTCTGCATGAGTCCTAAGTCCATTGCAAACCCTTGAACAAGACACAGTTTCTTCTGCTGCACTGATCCCCACTGGTTTTTATAGTCAGAAGTTATGGGGACTTATCTTCCTGGTGCTGGGATCTTGGGCTGGATGTTCTGGACTGGGGCTGGATTCCTCAACCTGAGGTAGCACTCCCATTTTTTTATCCACCATACTTGGATGTTGTTCCCATCTCTGTGCCTCTGTGCAGCATCCTGCATTTCCACAGCTCTCTGTGCCTCTCCTCAACTCAACCGTCCCTACCCATCTGGATGAATGTGGCTTCTTTAATCCTTGGTTGTCGGATTTCCACAGAGCATGATTTTATGACAATTCTGGGTGATATTTCTTTTGCAGTATATCTGTATGTTTTGCTATAATTGTGTATGGAGGCTAGGAGTGTTTACATATGCCTCCATCTTGACTAGAAGTAGAGTATCCCAGTAGTGCCAAAATTTCCCCCCACCACCCAGGAACCCCCACTCCCTCAGGCAATCCCCACACCATTGTTCATGTTGATGGGTCATATGTATGGGTTCGTTGGGTACTCTATTTCCTACACTGTACTTTACATGTCCATGGTTATTTTATAAATACCTATTTGTACTTCTGATCCCCTCACCTCTTCACCCGTTCTCCCACAATCCCCTCCCATCTGGCAACCATCAAAACTCTCCGTATCCATGATTCTTCCTCTGTTCTCTTTGTTTGCTTATTTTTTTAAAGATTTAATTGTTGATAGATATGTATGTATTGCCATTTTATTGTTCATAGTTTTGATGTTTTTCTTTTTCTTAAATGAGTCCCTTAACACTTTATATAATATTGGTTTGTTGATGATGAACTCCTTTAGTTTGTTTCTTGTCTGGGAAACTCTTTATCTGACTTTCAATTCTAAATGATAGCTTTGCTGGGTAGAGCAGTCTTAGCTGTAGGTCCCTGCTTTTCATGACTTTGAATATTTCTTGCCAATCCCTTCTAGCCAACAAAGTTTCTTCTGAGAAATCAGCTGACAGCCTTAGGTAGTCTTACAGTCTAACTCTCCTGTAGGTAACTAGCTGCTTTTCTCCTGCTGATTTTAAGATTCTCACTTTATCTTTAACCTTTGGCATTTTAATTATGCTGTGTCTTGGAGTGGGCCTCTTTGCATTCACCTTGTTTGGGGCTCTCTGCGCTTCCTGGACTTGCATGTCTATTTCTTTCACCAAATTAGGGAAGTTTTCTTTCATTATTTTTTCAAATAGATTTCCAATTCCTTGCTCCTTCTGTTCTCTTTCTGGCACCTCTATGATACAAATGTTGAACCTCTTGATGTTGTCTCAGAGGCTGCTTATACTATCTTCACATTTTTGGATTCTTTTTTCTTCTTATTGTTCTGATTGGTTGTTTTTTGCTTCTTTATGTTCCAAGTCATTGATTTTATTCTTGACTTCATTCACTCTACTATTGTTTCCCTGTTAATTATTCTTTATTTCAATTAGTGCAGCCTTCATTTTTGACTGGATCTTCTTTATGCTCTTGAGGTTCTCACTAAGTTCCCTGAACTTCATAACCAGTGTTTTGCACTCTGCATCTGATACATTGCTCATCTCCATTTCATTCAGCTCTTTTCAGGGAGTTTTGATCTGTTCTTCTTTTTGGGCCATGTTTCTTTGTCTCCTCATTTTGGCAGCATCCCTGTTTTTAATTTTATTTTTCTTCTATGTATTAGGTCGAGATGCTATGACTCCCTGTCTTGGTATCGTGACCTAATGTAGTAGGTGTCCTGTATGGTTCAGTGGCACAGCCTCCCCTACCACCCAAGCTAGGTACTCGAGGTTCACCCTTTGTGTGGGCTGAGTACACCCTCTTTTTGTAGTTGAGACTTGTTTGCTGTTGGCAGGTCAATGGGGGAGGTATTTACCCAGGCCTCCCAGGCCTCCCACACCAGTCAAATGCAAGGGCTGGTTGTGACCACTGACCATCAACCTCTGTCCTCCATGGAGGATCAGCTGTGCAGGGACAGGGTGGTGGTGCTCAGACATGGCCTGTAGCTGTCCACTACGTCCAAAGGCCCTGGGGTTTCCCAGGTGGTGCAGGCCAAGGTCAGCCCTGACATGTGTTTTTCTTGGGGCACCCTGCCTGAGCTATAAAGCAATCTGAGATGACTGTTACTTGTGCTGGGCTTGGAGATCACCAGTCAAAGACAAGCTGTGAATCTAGGATGGCTGCTGCTAATTTCATGCTTGGAGCCACTTAGCAAGATGTATGGGGGGTGGGGGTTGTGCTCAGGACTCACTGAGGCCAGCTGCTGTTTGCTTGAAAGGATTTAGGAAGTTGTGAAGCCTGAGCCAAGACCAGCCATTCGTAGGAAAAGCTACTGTTAACACCTGTCAGTTGGGTGAGATGGAGCCTCAAGGGATCCCCAGTGTTGGTCAAACATCATTAGCCAGGTTAATGAAGTCTCAGATATGGCACCGGCCTGCTGACTCTGTTACTCTATCAGGGGAGTGTTCAGAAAATACACAGTGACCTCTGTCCACCTTTCTGTCTGGGAGAAGGCTGTCTCCCAGTTCTCACCCTGATGCTAGAAACTTCAATCCCTCCCTGTATGCCACTGGTGCCTTTCAAGCTGCTACCCTGGTGCTGTAGCTCAGAGGGAGTGAGTCTGAATAAGTTCGTGTGTGGTTTCTTTAAGAGGAACTCCTGGGGACTCCAGAAGTTTCTCCACTGACTCAGTCCTGGCTGGTTTTTGCAGCCTTGATTTATGGGGACTAATCTTCCTGATGCTAGAACCCTGGGCTGGGGGCTTGGTGTGGGGCTGGGACTCCTCACTCCCAAAATACCTCTCCCAAATTTTTATCCACCACAAATGGATGTGGTACCAGCTGGTTCTGCATCTCCGCCCCTCCTACCAGTCTGGATGGTTGGGGCTTCAACCCATAGTTATCAGACTTCTGTTCAACTTGAAGTATTCTGATGATTCTGAGTGATGGTTGTTCTATATTTTAGTTGTAATTTTGATAAGGTTGTGTAAAGTGGCTAGCCTTTTCTGCCTATACCACCACTTGACTGGAAGTCAAAAATATTAATTTATTTAGAGGGAGGGGAAAGAAGGGAGAGAAACATAGATTGTGTACCATCTCCCTGTGTACTTTGTGTACTTCCTCCCTGCACATGTTGCCTTCACCCAGACTCTTGGCTTTACTGCCTCAGGTGTGCTCTTCATCTGGGCATCCACTGGAGTGAAGGAATTTCCTGCTTCAGCCACTGACTGGCTGAGTAAAGCTGACCCCAGAACTATCACACGGTAGACTGCTTCAGGGTGGAAGAGGCTTCATTAGTTTTTGCTCAATCTTTTTGCTATGCTTTAGGCTTATCTAACGGTCTCTCACGAGCTGCAGAACACCCTAGCTGGGCTGGGTGAGGTCAAGACTAGTCCTTCTCCAAGGAGGCAGCTTCAGTGCAGGGTAGCAGCTTGGGCAGTAGCTCAGGACCTTTATTGACCACATAACCACTGGGTGTGCTAACATAGTGCCCTCAGGCCCCGCCCCAGCAGCCTCCGTCGAAGTTCTTGACTGAGCAGCTCCCATTCCCTGCGGGCCCCGTGCAGCACACTCTGGTTCTCCTGGGCCCTCCGGATCAGGTAGGGGATCACCTCCTCCAGGGAGCCATAGGGGATGGACTTGTATACAGCATAGCCAGCCTGCCCTGCAGGGAGAGTGTTGATAAGATGTTGATAAGAGTGTTTGGAGAGAGGCTCCCATAGGCCCCATCTGGAACAAAGATTTCTAGTTCTGAGAATATGGCAGATAGATGAGTTAGACAAAATTTCCCACTGAAAAACTAAAAATTCTGGAGTAAACATTTAAAGTTATTAAAATGCTCCCAAGAGAATAAGGAACTTCCTAATCCAATAATTAAGAGAAAGGGAAAACCAGAGAGGGAAGGGATGCACAGGAAGCACTTCTGCCCTGAATACAAAATTGAGTTGCTATTTGATGGCTTTACAGAGTTGAAGGGATACAGAAATTGAGGCCTAAAGTCTGAACAGGGTGAGAGGTAGAAAGGAGAGCTTCCTCGCATTAAGCTGGAACCCCAAAATGAACACTCTCAGAGTAAGAGTTCCCTCTACTCCCAGGGAATGACCTTGACCCAGCTTATGCACAGCAGGGAAGAAAACAGAGAAATCCATCTCTGAGAGGTTGTGGCTGTGCTTTAGTCTGCTTGCATATTTGCAGACCAAATTTGCATATCTGAGATGTCTCAGGAAACCTCAAGCTATGACTTTAGGATACAACAATTTTGTAGCCCTTAGCATCTGGCAGAGAAAGACATAAATCTTCTGGTCAGTCCCTGGGGAGCAACGTGGTAAAGATAACAAAGCACATAGGAAAGAAAACACCATGATCAAAAACTAGCAAAACAACAGAGAGCAGGTACAGAGACAAAGGCCTACAAGACTTTAGACATTGGAAGAGACTGGGCCATCTGCAAACTCTAGATAGGAGCATGGTAAGGCATTGGTTGAAATGGGAGAAGGACCCTGGCTGAGAAGGAATGAGGCCTGGGGCTGGGTGGGGCATGGTGATGGTGGTGGTAGGGAACGGGCCATTCACATACCCAGTGCCAAGGAGACGTGGTCACACATCCCCAGAAGTTGTCCAAAAGAGACAGGCCCATCCAGAGGAATGCCCAGCTCCCACATGCTACAGAAAAGGCCACATCATCAATCCAGACAGTGGCTGGATCCAGAGCTCAGTCAGCCATTGGCATCCACATGGCTGTTCCAGTTATTTAACTATTGAAATACTTCTAAACTTAATGATAAAAAATCCACTGCTCTAAGATGCCTGAAATCTCTCCAGTGAATTCCATTCCTTCCCTGGAACCCTAGGACTTCCCAGTATCCTAGCATATAAGGGGTGATGCCTTGTTCAGCTAGGGACTATAAGACCTATAAGTGTAGCAGAGGTTTAATGTTTTTAATATCCTCCGAGAATTCCTCTGAACCTACTGTTGCCACATTCTGCCCCTCATCTTGTTCCACGTCCACCACCCTCTACCCATTCCAAGCATGTAAATTAGGGAGAAGAAGGAAGGGGCCCACTTCATACCGTTTTGTTGCCTGATGAACAGATTCCTCATTGTGGGATGCCACCATGAGGTGGCACATGGAACCACGGTGGGAAACATGGGTCAACATCAGCTCCAAACAGCGTCTGTAACTGAAGACAGATGGTCCAGTTATGGTACCAGGTGAGTGATAGTCAGGCCTCAGTGACTAGGCATTTCTGTCCTTGGGACATGGAGTTCCTAGGGACAAGAACTCTGGAGTCATAAAATACCCCACTTCCACCTGGACCAGTTGCAAGGGACATCACTTCTTTGAGCTTTTTCCCTCTTTTGTAACAATGCAAGTTCACCTAAAAGTGATGCTCAGAGGATGGAATGAGATGAAGGTATACAAAAAGCCTTTGGCCCAATGGCATTCTCACAAATAAGGGCCACATCACACACACGACATGACATTTTCTTGAGGTCATTCACTGCAACATTGTCTACAGAACATGATTAACAACAACCCAAATGTCCTTAAGTAGGGGACTGGCTTGATGAATGGTGGTACACAGAGTACAGTGGAGTGCCATGCAGCTGTATAAAGAACAAGGACACTCTTGGTACTGACCTGGGAAGGTACAAAGACTGGAAAATGCTTTCTGAACTGCTATAGGCCAGGTGCCACCCTATGACCTTCACCGCTATAGTAGTTATTTTCCACTGCCTTCCAGATCTGTTCTTTGCCCTTCTCTGCCCCTTAGGAAGCTGACTTTTTACATCCTGCAACACCCAGTCATGGGCAGATTAGAAGGTGGGAGGGAAGAGAGCTCGGGCATTTTGTCCTTTAGCCCCCCTCCCTGGCCCACCCTATCTGTCCACACCTCCTCCAGTGTGGCCCTTCTTCCTCACCTATAATAAGGTTGTAACCACTTCCCACTTTTGTGGGTTTCTGAGTGCCTCAACACTCCCTATGGATTATTTGGACCTTACCCATGTTCCATTAATTTTTTAATATTATTTTTTAGTGATTTTATTTATTTATTTTTCCAGAGAAGGAAAGGGAGGGAGAAAGAGAGGGAAACACCCTTTGGCTGTCTCTCATGGCCCCAGCTGAGGACCTGGCCTGCAACCCAAGCATACATCTTGACAGGGAATCAAACCTGCGACCCTTTTGATTCACATGCTAGTCCTGAAATCCACCATCCAGGGCACTCCATTAATTTAGTCCCTTTACTATAAATCTCCTTTATCTTGCCTGACACACATATGTTCACTCACCTCACTCTCAAATCAACTCTGTGAGGCAGATGTTCTGGTTATCTTCATTTTACATAAGCAGAGTTGAAGCTGAAAGAGGTTAAGTCTCTTGTCCCCAGGTCACACAGCTAGAAATGGCTGGGCTGGGATTTGAGCTCAGACTATCTGATGCTCCAAAGCTTGTGCTCATCACTAGACTATTTTGCCTTTAAGAGAGGCAGTTGAGTAGAAAAGCAAAGAGCAATATGTAGACATGTGACTTTTGCAGATACAAAAATCTTTGTGTTTGCCTCTGTATGCATAAAGGAATTTAAGAAACACCTGTAAGAAACTAACAAAAGGGATTACCTGTGGGGGCCAGGGAGACTCCATAATTAGATGGGGATTTTGGTCAAAATGAGATATGTTGGTGTATTAATTTTCATATCATTTTAATTTTTGCATCATGTGAATTCATTATTCACTCAAAATATATATTAAAACATGAGTGGTACCATGCCATGGAGGATGTGCAGAACCTGGAACCCTCATACAATGCTGGTATGAATGTAAAATAGTGCGAGACCGTGGAATACCATCTGGCAATTCCTCCAAAGTTTAAATGTGGAGTTATCATGTGACACAGCAATCTCACTCCCAGATAACTGAACTTTCAGTTAAAGAATGGGTGATGAGGTATTCTAGTTTTTGCTAGGGAGGTCAGGGAAGGCCCCCTGCGAAAGCACCAAATACACAAAGACCTAAGGAGGTAAGGGATTGAGCCATGAAGCTGTCTGGAGGAAGAACGTTCTAGGCAGTGGGACAGGAAGTACAAAAGGCCCTGGGGATCATCAAGCAGTGCAGAGAGTGAGGGGAAAAGTGGAAGGAAAAGTTAGAGAGATGGCGGTGACCAGACTGCATGGGGCCTTGTGGGCTGCTGTAAGGATTTGGGGTTTACTGAGGGTGCAATGGGATCCATGAAAAGATTTTTAAAAAATAATATGGGTTTTTAAAAAACATTTTATTTTTATTGATTGTGCTGTCACAGTTGTTCCCACATTTTTTGCCATTCCCTGTCCATGGAAGGATTTTGAACTGAGGAGGGACGTGATTTGACTTGAGTATAAACAGGACTCCCTCCAGCTGCGTGTGGGGAAGAGACAGGGAATGGGGGTCAAAGGGGTGAGAAAGGAGCCCAAGGAGAAGGCTACTATTCAGGTGGGATGCAGGGGTGTGCTGGACCAAGAAGAGGGAGTAATGTGTAGACACATACAGGATGCTCAGTATCTTGTGTTGTGAGCTCTAAAGGTTAGATGCTATTATTACTTGTCACAGAGCTTGGCCTGGCCCACTCCTACCTCTGACTGGCAGCCTCATAGTCAGGCTGAGTGGGATCTTTGGTTCCTTGGAGCCGGGCCATCTCTCTCTCCATGTCCAAATACGCCCCTCGTACCAACTTCACTCCGAAGGCCAGGCCAGCCCTGTCTGCAGCTTCAGCATCCCGCCTCAGTCGCTCGTGTGTGTCCTGGCAAAGTACACAGGCTGCTTAAGGTCAGGATGCTGAAATTCCAGCCTGAATAGCCCAGGAATGTACCACACACCTTCAGATAAGCCTGGTAAGTGTTCCACACCCAGGGCCCACCATCCCTGGAGCTGTTCCAGCGCAAGGCCAGGGCGGCCACCAGCAGAGAAAGAGCAGGGTTCAGCGAGGTGTACTCAGCATCCACTAGGAGCCTCACGTGTTGGGCCTGGGCATGCTGAGGGCGAGAGAGACTGTGGTCAGAGCACCAGAGGTGTCTAGCAGGTACAGTGGAGCTAGGCCACAACAGGAGGCATTACCTGTACCACCCTTTGCAAGCGGCTCAAAGAAGCCTGGAGATGACTGTTTTGCTCAGTGCTGAGGCAGGAGACCTGGAGGTCCTAGGGGAGGGCAGCCAGGAAGGTGAGAGTAGCTCAGGACTTCCTTATAGGGCCTAAGTCTCCTCTCCCACACCACAGGAAGGGGAAAAAATTAGAAATTGTTAGGAATCTAAAAAGTTGCTATTTCACATATATATGCAATTTATTGAAGTGTAATACGATGGTTAAGACCCCAGAAACTGACTTGAATCCTGGTTCTACCACATACTTTGTGGCCTTGAGCAAGTCATGTAACCTCTCTGGGCCTCAGTTTTCTCCTCTGTAAAATGGAAATGATAACAGTAGCTTCCTCATGGAGTTACATGGATAAAAATGGGTTAACATGTGAGATGTGCCTAGACATAACAATGACAGGACAGTGCCAGAAAATAATTAGCACTCAATACATGTTGTCATTATTATAGTAATAGGTAACTGCATATACTATTGTGTTTATTTACTTTCCATAATGATCCTAGTAGACAGGTGTCATTCCAAGCTCCATTTTCCAGTGAGGAAACTGAAACTTAGACAGAGAAGTAACTTGGAGTTGGCCTATAGAAAATGCTTAGAGCAGTAGCTAGCTCATAATAAATGCCATGTTTTCCTCCTATTAGTCTCTTAGGACCTCAATTTCCTCAACAAATACCAAGGCCTCATTGTATCCTTCTAGGCTCCACCCTATCTGGCCCCTCTGTTCTCACTGCCTTCCACTGTCCATCTTGCTCTCTGCCCTCCAACCACACTGGTCTCCCTGCTATTAAACATGCCAGGTACCTTCCAACCTCAGAGCCTTTGCTCTGGCTGTCCCTTCTACCTGGCACACTTTTCCCGCAGAGGTCCACTTACCTCTCCTCCAGATCTTTGTTCCAATATCCTCTACTTAATGAGGTTCTCCCTGGTTTAAATCCTCAACTCCCTGTCTGGGGCTTTCCTTGCCCCTTCCTCAGCCTTTTTCACCTACAATATTTATTTATACCTAACTTGTTACATATTGGCTTTGGTTTTCATTTTTAAGTGTCTCTTACGCCCTCCCTGACAGGAAATGAGTGCCTTGATGGCAGGGAGTTTGTTTATCTTGGTCATTGCTCCTCCACCCCTAGCACAGCACCTGGAACATGATAGATGGCCAATGATAACTACCTCTAACTCAGCTCTACCGCATTGCTTGGGGTGGTGGAGACTTGGAGGCTCCCAGGGTATCCATCCCAGGAAAGATAAACCACACCACTAGAAGCAGCAATTGTACACAATGGAATTCTATTCACAAAGACACTTGGATGGAACTTAAAGTCTGAGTGCTTAGGAGAAAAAGTGTGTAACAGATCAAGATAGATAACATAACACTATTTGCATACATCTTAAAATGTATCTCCCAGATTAATGGAGCAGGACACAAGGGAGCTTTTGCAACTATAGAAACATTCTATAACTTGATAAGGATTTGAATTGCTCAGTTTCATGCATTTGTACAAGCTTGTCAAGGGGAACATTTATGGCCCTGGCTGGTGTGGCTGAGTTGGTTGGAGCATTGTCCCATGAACCAAAAAGTTGTGGGTTCTCTCTCCAGTCAGAGCACATGCCTAGGTTGCAGGTCTGAGCCCTGAATGGGGAGCCCCAGTTGGGGAATATGGGAGGCAACCAATTAGTGTTTCTCTCTCTCTCTCTTCCCTTTCCTCTCTTTAAAAGCAGTGAAAAAATGTCCTTGGGTGAGGATACAAAAAAAATTTTTTAAGCATGCATTTACAATTTGTACATTATTCATTATATGAAAATTTTACCTGAAAAGAAATAAAGCACTATAAATAATTATTGAGCTCTAATTAGTGACATACTTTCTGAAGCATTTGGAGGGAAGTGTGCTGATGTGAGCAACTTACTTTGAAGTTCATAAAAAAATAAGATGGATTGATAGATGGACAGAGCAATGGAGAGAGGGACAGATGGTTTAAAGCAAGTATAGTTAAATATTAACAATGGCAGGTATATGAGTGTTCATCGTAAGATTCTTTAAACTTTTATATATGTTTGAAAATTTTCATAATGAAATGTTGGAAAAACATGGCTTCAAACAGTATATACTTGGCAAAACAAAATCACAATAATAAAGATATACACTATACAGGACAGAGTGGGTGCCAATGGCAGGCAGGGTAGAAATAGGACATGAAAAGAAAAAAGAATGAAGAAGTGGATGTTTGGATGGGTGAATGAATGATTAAACCAAATCCCATTGGTCTAATCACAACTTCCAGCATATACTAGCATAGTTAAGTAGATTGATAAAATGTTCATATACTTATTTCTATTTGATAAAAAGCTGCTGTCTCAAACACTCCTGAGAGCTTTGAGCCCCCAGGCCCCTCCCCTAGAACCCCCAGATGACCCATATTCCATCCATTCCAACTACAGCCACATTTATTCTGATTGTTCTGAGCCTGGAAAGTAGTGGTAGTTAAATAGTTTGAACAAACTACTTGAAGGTGCCTGCTACATACAAGTCCAGGGGATTCTGCTCCCTCAACATTCCCCACCAACTATTCATTTCTTCCCCAGACTGAGATTCTTACCCGCCCAGAGTCCATGGCTTCTGCCAGCCTCTCAGGGCTCAGCTCCAAGGAAGCTCCTGGCCTTCCGATACATGAAGTTAGCACCTTCTGGAACAGGGTGGTGGATGGGGTGGTGAGGTGGACATGGTAGGCAGCCAGCCACACCTTCCTCCCACATCCTGGGTCTCTTACACAGAGCCAAGTGCTGATCAACGCTGTCAACTTCAGCTGCATGAGGATGTTCCCAGTTGGGGCAGAGGTCTTCAAGAGGCTTCGTGACAGCTCCACACACCGCAGCATAGCCCTGAGGTTCCCCTCATACCAGGACTCACTGCCCAGCCAGCAGGCATCAGGTCCTAGAGCCTACTAACCCCCCTTCCCTGGGCCCTGGGCCCTGGTTCATCTGGTCTTCCTTTTAAATTTTATTTTTTCCCCTTTTTTAATTTTTAAAATTTTATTTTTAATATAACTTCCCATGAGGGACAAGCCAGGGACTAGGCATGTATGGACTGTGATGGCCCATGAGGTGGTTGTGCTTACTCACCCAGTCTTGACAGTTGAGTCTGGCTCCTCCTCTGTGGGCACTGCCAGCAGGGGCCGGAGGCTTAGGGTCTGCAGCTGTTGCACACAACCCCTCACCTCTTCTGCTGTCTCACCTGCCACAAACTGCCCATAGATAGAAGCTCGGAGAAGAGCTCCGGAGAGCCGGGAGCCCAGGAGTCGCTGAGACCAGGCCTGGAGCTGTGGTAACAAGGAGCGAGGGCTCAGAGAAAGACCTTGTGGAGCCCTAAAGCCAGTCCCCAAGGTCATTGCTCACCGCTAGGCCATGAGTGACCAGAGGGGGCCAGGCACACAGTCGCAGCACCAGCAATGCCCGCATCAGTTCTCCTGTGCCCTTGAGGTGGAAGGCCCCACCATCAAAACTCAGGGGCTGCCAGCCCCTAGTAGGGCTGCCAGCCTGGGAATAGAGCACTTGACAGGTCCGGAGCATCATGAATCCCTCACCACTTTCACACTAGATAAATGGGCTTTGGAGGCTGCAGTCTACCAGACAGGGGCAGTGACTGATTAACCAGACGTAGGCAGTGAAAGGCAAATCTTTAGGATCACAGGCTTCTTGGGAAGCAGTTAACAATTAACTAAAAGGGACAGAGTTCAGAATAACTTGGACAGGAAGACCCCGAATAACAGTTCTCTATACCCTCAGTATGATAGCTCACAATTATTCAGTGTCCACATTTGCTACTAGGTGCTAGTGAGAGCTTGGCTTTGGGAGCAAGGATCTTTTGGTTCAAAGCAGTTTGGCTTTGTGATCTTAGGAAAGTTTCTTGACCTCTCGTTGAAATTGCTTCATCTTACAATCAGAAAGAGTACAGTATTGAATAAATTTGAAAATGCATATAACCTGTAACCCATCCATTTCATGTTAAGTATATATCCTAGAGAACTTGAACATGGAAATCAGGAAATATGTACAGAAAGGAACGTTCATAGCAGCACTGTTTTCAGTAGGTCCAACTGGGAATCACCCAACTTTCCATCAACTGCAGAAAGGATACATACATTGTGGTATATTTACATAATGTAATACTATACAGCAATAAAAGAACAAACTACTGATACACACAACCACATGGATAAATCTCACACACATAATGTTAAGTGAAAGAAGCCAGACACCAAAGAGCACATGTTGTATTATTCCATTCAATAAACTTGAAAGCAGTCCTGGCTGGTGTAGCTTGGTGGATTCAGTGCCAACCTATGAATCAAAAGGTCACCAGTTTGATTCCCGGTCAGGGCACATGCCTGGATTGCAGGCCAGGTCCCTGGTTGGGGGCATATGAGAGGCAACCCATCAATGTATCTCTCTCACATTGACATTTCTCTCCCTTTCTTTCGTCCTCCCTTCCCCTCTCTAAAAAGTAAATAAATAAAATATTTTTAAAAAACTTGAGAGCAGGGAAAATGAAATGAAGCAAATGTATTGGGGATATGTACATGGGTGGTTCAATTATAAAAAAAAGACAAGCAAGAAAATGATTACCTTGGAAGGTGGGAGGAGTTGTCACTAGGTAGGTGCTCATGGGGGCTTCTATGTCCTTTATTCTATTATTTGAAGATTTTATTTATTTATTTATTTATTTATTTATTTATTTAGAGGCGAAAGGAGGGAGAAAGAGAGGGAGAGAAACACAGATGTGAGATGGATTCGTTGCCTCTCGCACATGCCCCAACTGGGAACCAGGCTTGCAACCTAGGCATGTATCCTGACAGGGAATCAAATTGGTAACCATTGACTTTGTGGTACGACACCCAACCCACTGAGCTACATCAGATGGGGTTGTCCTTGATTCTTAAGGTGGTGATGATTCACAATTGTCTATATAGTATTTTTTAAAGCCATACATTTATATTTTGTACTCCTGACTATAAAATACATTTAACAATAAAAAGTAAAAAATCATAGGTAGGGAGTGGGAATAAAAATTATCGGTTTCACAGGGTTGTAATGAGGAATCAGTGAGTTCATGGACACACAGTGGTACACAATATGAACTTAGTAAGTACTGGCTGTGATTAGTGCATGTTGTGTATGCATAATCTCATTGGTGCTATGTCCTGGTGAGGTATATACTATTAATCACCCTTGCATCTAGGGATCCAAAAAACCACCTCAGGTTCAGTAATTCACTGGAGGGACTTGCAGAATTCAGAGTTTTTTACTCACAGTTATGGTTTATTATACTGAATGGATACAGATTGAAGATATCAAAGGGAAGAGGAGCATAGAGTCCAAGCGATGCCAGGTGCAAGTCTAGTTGACCTTTCCCAGTAGAATCAAGTGAATAGCACCCAGTTCTCCCAGCAACAATGTGTGACAAGATATAAAAAGTACTGCAGCCAGTGATGCTAACATGAGCTTTGGTGTCTGGGCTTTTTATTAGAGGTCAGTTACATTGGCAAGGCTATGTTCACATGACTGAACTTAGTCTGCAACCCCTCCAGAGTGCACACTAATACCGTACAGACCAAGGCCACCAGGTAAATCAAAATGCTCTTATTGAGCAGGCCATTTCAAGGGCTTAGAGGTTATCCCCCAAGAGCTGGAAAAAATTAACCTGCCATTCACAGATGTTATAAACAGAGACCCAGAGAGGTAGAGATATTTTCCTGAAATCATGCAACCAGTTGGTGGCCAAGTGTGGGTTCAATGATCTTGTTCTCTAGACCCCAGGCCTGAAAATTTTAATCATTCCTTTCTACAGTTTTTTCTTTAGTACCCAATTCACAGACCTGAATGATAAGACTCAGATTATAAATCCAGCAAAGCCTGAACTAAAAGAATTCAAACTTTTAAAAAAATCATCACAGTTCATATTTTAAATAAAACAATACAAAAGGAGGCAAAGTGAAAAACGTGGTTTTTTTCCTACTCCTAAATTTAAATCCTTCAATTTCCTTCCTTTAAGATAGTGAGGTATCCTTGCAGAGATAGTCTGTGCACAGAAATGAACCTATACATATCACTTATTTATTATATACGTAGGAAATATGGGGGGGGCGTGGTGGAGGGTAAATGCAGACAACTGTACTTGAACAACAATAAAATAATTTTAAAAAAGAAAATATTACTCATCCTTTTGCACATTAATTTTTTTACTTAACAATGCTTTTAAAGATAACTCCAGTCTTATAACTTATATTTCTGTAACAAATTTGAAAAATTCTTTAGTATTTCTTCTTTTAATCATTGATAGAATTTACCAGTAAAACCATTTGAACCTGGAGTTTTATTTGTGAGGAGGTATTTAATCATGAATTCAATATCTTTTTTAAAATTATATTTTATTGATTATGCTGTTACAGTTATCCTGATTTTCCCCCTTTGCCCTCCTAAGCCCAGCACCCCTGACTACCTCAGGCAATCCCCACAGCATTGTCCGTGTCCATGGGTCATATGTATAAGTTCTTTGGTTTCTCTATTTCTTATACTGTACTGTATATCCCCATGGCTATTCTGTAACTACCTGTGTATACTTCCTAATCCCCTCACTTTTTAAAAAGATTTTATTTATTTATTTTTAGAGAGAGAGAGAAACATCAATGTGCAGTTGCTGGGGGTCATGGCCTGCAACCCAGGAATGTACCCTGACTGGGAATCGAACCTGCGACACTTTGGTTCGCAGCCCACGCTCAATCCACTGAGCTACGCCAGCCAGGGCTCCCCTCACCTTTTTACCTATTCTGTCCTACCCCCCTCTGACCTGGCAACCATCAAAATGTTCTCTGTACCTTTGATTGTCTCTCTGTTCTTCTCATTGTTTTGTTTGCTTTTTAGATTCAATTGTTGATACATATGTATTTTTTGCCATTTTATTTTTCATACTTTTGATATTTTTCTTAAATAAGTCCCTTCACATTTCATATAATAATCATTTGGTGATGATGAACTCCTTTAGCTTTACCTTGTGTAGAAAGCACTTTATCTGTCCTTCAATTCTAAATGATAACTTTGCTAGATAGAGTAATCTAGGTTGTAGGTCCTTGCTTTTCATCACTTTGAATACTTGCCAGTCCCTTCTTGCCTGCAAAGTTTGTTCTAAGAAATCAGCTGGAAGCCTTAAGGGAACTACTTTGTAACTGTCTGCTTTTCTGTTGCTGCTTTTAAGATTCTCTCTTTATCTTTAACCCTTGGAATTTTAATTATGATGTGACTTGATGTGGTCTTCTTTGGGTTCACCTTATTTGGGACTTTCTGTGCTTCCTGGGTTTGCATGTCTATTTCCTTCACCAAATTAGGGATTTTTTTCATTATTTTAAAATAAATTTTCAATTTCTTGCTCTTCCTTTTCTCCTGGCATCCCAATGATTCAGATTTTGGCATGTTTGGAAATGTCCCAGAGGTGCCTTATATTATCCTCATTTTTTTAAATTATTTTTTTAAGTTTCAATGCATTTTATTTTTAGACAACCTAATGATACATTTTTCTTTTTTTCCTTTTTTACTTTTTTTAACATTTTAAAATTGTCTTTCAAGTACAGTTCTCTGCCTTTTCTCCCCCACCCCTTCCCACCACCCCAGCCCTTCCTACCTCCCTCCTCTGTTTCTACCCTCACCTTGTTATTATCCATATGTCCTTTATAATTGTTCCTGTAAACCCCTCATCCCTTTCCCCTATAATCCCCTCCCCTTTCCCCTCTGGTCACTCTCAACCTGTTCTCAATTTTAGTGTCTTTGGTTATATTTTGCCTGCTTGTTAATTTTGTTGATTAGATTCCTGTTAAAGACAAGATCATATGGTACTTCTCTTTCACTGCCTGGCTTATTTCACTTAGCATGATGCTCTCCGGTTCCATCCATGCTGTCGAAAAGGGTAGGAACTCCTTCTTTCTTTCTTCTGCACAGAATTCCATTGTGGAAATGTACCATAGTTTTTTGATCCATTCGTTTACTGATGGGCACCTAGGTTGCTTCCAGCACTCGGCTATTGTAAATTGTGCTGCTATGAACATTGGGGGTGCAAAGGTTCTTTTGGATTGGTGTTTCAGAGTACTAAGGATATAATCCTAGCAGTGGAATTGCTGGGTCAAAAAGCAGATCCATTTTTAGTTTTTTGAGGAAATCCCATATTGTTTTCCATAGTGGTTGTACCAGTCTGCAGTCCCACCAGCAGTGCACTAGGGTTCCCTTTTCTTCACAACCTCTCCAACACTTGTTCTTTGTTGCTTGTTTATGATGGCCATTCTGACTGGTGTTAGGTGGTAATTCACTATGGTTTTAATTTGCATCTTTCTGATACTAGGGATACTGAGCATCTTTTCATATGTCCCTGGACCCTCTGTATGTCCTCCTTGGAGAAGTGTCTGTTCAAGTCCTTTGCCCATGTTTTAATTGGGTTGCTTGTCTTAGAGTGGAGTTGTGTGAGTTCTTTATATATTTTGGAGATCAAATCCTTGTCTGAGGTATCATTGGCAAATATATTTTCTCATACAGTTGGTTCTCTTTTCATTTTACTGCTGTTTTCTTTAGCCGTGCAGA